ACCTGAGAATGGGGGCCACCTTCCGGGCTCCCCGGCTGTGGCCGCCTGACTTTCTGAGATAACGTGAAGAAACCCACTTGATCCCAGAGAAGATGCGCAGAGCTGGGCCCCTACCCCAAACTGCCTCTGGCAGCTGTTCTCTCTAAGGTGTGCACCTAGGTGGCGCCTCAACTGCAGCTTCCAACTTCCCGGACCCAGCAGCCCACCGACAGGATCTTGTTTTTACTGGACGAGCCCCGCAGAGTCGGTCTCCGATGCACCGAGACCCGGTGATCCGCGGCGGGGGCTGCTCCTTAGCTTGGAAACACCGCAAGCACAGCACGGCCCGGGACCCAGAATAGCCACAGCCCCTGCTCCCGAGGCCGCTTATTCTCCACGATCAGGGAAACAGAAAGGAAAACGACCCCCAGTCAAGGGACAGCATCTCACCTGTCAGACCGGCAGAACTCCACAGGTCGGACACTGTCCTCTGCTGGCACAGCTACAGAGAAACAGGTTTCCTGAGCCTTTGCCAGCAGGATACCAGCAGCCTGCCACCTGAGGGGAGGCGCCGGGCAGCCGCTGGAGAAGCGTCCCCACATCCATCGTCTGAATCGACAGTTCCCCGTCCAAGGATCTACCTCAAAAACACACTGGCAAATTAAGACATGGAAAAACGTATGTTCGAGGTCACGCGTTATAGTCCAAGTTTTCACAGCTAAAGGCTAGAAACAACGCAGGTGTCTATTAACAGGGAGGTAGTTGAATAAACTGTTACACCCCCCAAAACGGAGAAGCGTGCCCGCACAAAGATAGAAGAAAGAGATCTATTTGCCACATGGGGTTTTCTCCAGGACACGCAAAAGATTGTAAAACTCAATGGAACTTCCAGAAATGAAAAACAGAACATCTGAAATAGAAAATTCACAGGATAAGCTTAACAACAGTTTGGAAAATACACAAAAGAATCAGTGAACCTGGATACATAACATTAGAAAGGGTCCAAACCTAAGCATGGGAAGGGGGAGAAACTGAAAAACTAAACAGACCTTCCTCACCATCGAACAGCGTCAAGCTGTCTGATATACACACAGCTGGACTCCAAAGAGGAGGCAGACCAAATATTTAAAGGCTTCTTGGCTGCACATTTGCAAACTTGATGAGACTCCCGAAGTAAAGGAGTTCGGTAAGCATCCAGCGGGACAGACAAGAGGAACCACGCTACAGCACGTCACCGACGAATTGCTAAAAAAGCAATGGCTTTAAAAAAAATTCTAAAACCAGCCAGAGAAAAGGGACACACTCTAGGCAGAGAAACAGGACCAGAAAAAACTGTGAATTTCTCATCAGAAACAACACAGGCCAGAAGGTACTGCAACAGTGTGCTTCCACACGCTGAAGAAAACACGCGTGTCAACCCGGGACTCTACAATTACTGAAAATACCTTTCCAAAAAACGAAGGCAGCCCAGGGACCTGGAGTTCCAGCCGGTTCCTACCACATTCCCCCAGTCACCTGCCTCCTCTTTCCTTGGAACGTGACAGAAGCCACGGTGTCCTTCGCGGGTGCAGCGCCCGAGACCATCTCCGAGACCACGACGGTGCCTGCCGAGCGGGTCAAGCTGCCGCCGCAGGTGCAGGGTGCCAGCAAGCACATCGCCACAGACGGCGATGCAAGGGCATCACAGGCTGTGAGGTTCGTGTCCCCAAGGAGCAGGGGGTCCTGTCCTCCTGGCGTGGTCACCGGCCAACGTCGTCAGATACTTCCCCACCCAGGCCCTCGACTTCGCCTTCAAAGATAAACACAAGCGGGTCCTCCCGGGTGGTGTGGACCACAGAGCCCAGTTCGGCGCTACTTTGCAGGACATCTGGCATCAGGTGGTGCCGCTGGGGCCACACCCCCGTGTTTTGTGTATCCTCTGGATTTTGTTCGTACCTGTCTGGCAGCTGATGAGGGCAAAGCTGGACCGGAGAGGGAACCCAGGGGCCTCGACGACTGCCTGGGTGAGATCTACAAATCCGATGGGATGGAGGGCCTGCGCTGTGGAGGGTGTTCTCATGTCCCGAGCTGCCTACCTCAGTGTCTGTGCCGCTGCAAAGGGGTCGCTCCCAGATCCCGAGAAAACACACACGTTCCTCAGCCGGGTGACAGCACGACCCGTCACAGCGGCTGCAGGGCTGACTTCCATCTGTTTGACGCTGTTCATCGGACATCGGGTCCACAGGCTCGCTTCGCTGCCCGAGCAGGACACTCCGCAAGGAAGGAGGCAAAGCTTTCTACAAGGGGGCTAGTCCAGCGTTCTCAGATGCATGGGGCGCTTCTGCGCTTGTCTCGTGTGATGAGTCGAGAAGCTCGTGCAAGTTACGCTAGTGTTTCTCCCTGTGAACAGGCATGTTGTATCATAGAACATCTCTTGAGGATTCTTGACAGACTGTTGGCCCTCTATTTATCAACGATAACTACTGGTTGGAAATGGAAAGCAATGATGTTTGTCTGACCCTTTTATCTCTTAAGGCCATTTCCATGATGGTGGGACTCCATTGTATTTTTTTATTTCAGTCACTCCTGAAAAATAAATTCGAGGAAATAAAAAAATGAAGGCAGGTTAAAAGTATTTTCATTCAAAAATGGTTGACACAATTCACCACCACTAGATCTACGTCGTAAGAAGTGCTTTAAAAAAGCCACGGAAGCAAAGGAGTAAAGAGCAGCTAGAAATCAAGACACGCACAAAGGAGCCGAGAGAGCAGGTGGGTGCATGTGAACTGATGTCAAGTACATCTGTGCTCCTGCTTAACTTACTCAAAGTACAGCTGACCGTTTAAAGCAAAAGGGACGATGTTGTCATGGACTTGACGGCATACATAGAAGTGAAACGTATGACAAGTTAGAAGAAAGCAACAGGAGAACAGAATAGAACTTTGCTGTCCAAAGTTGTTACGGCCCATAGCAACTTTTTTCCTTTTTTCCAGCGATGTCTTCTGAGACACCAACAATAAAATAGCAGAAAGAAACTACACCAAAATGAAAAAGCTTCTACACAGGGAAGGACACAGTCAACAAAACTAAAAGACAACCTACAGAATGGGAGAAGATATGTGGCAATGACATAGCCAATAAAGGATTCGTGACCCAAGATACATAAAGAACCTAATACGACTCAATACTCAAAACACAAAATTTCCAACTAAAAAATGGGCAGAAGACATGAGCAGATATTTCTCCAAACACAGAGATGACCAACAGACACACGAAAAGATGTTCAACATTCCTCATCATCAAGGAAATGCAAATCAAAACCACAATGAGACAGCACCTCACACTCCTCAGAATGGCTAAAATCAAAAACAAAAGAAACAACCAGTGTTGGTGAGAATGTGGATAAAAAGGAACCCTCGTGCACTGTTGGTGGGAACGCAAGCTGGTGCAGCCACTGTGAACAGTACGGCGGCGCCTCAAAAAGTTAAAAATAAGGGCACCTGGGGGCACAGTCAGTTAAGCGTCTGACTGTTGATATTGGCTCGGTCATGATCTCACGGTTCGTGCGACCGAGCCCCGTGTCAGGCTCCGCGCGGTCACCCTGGACTCACATTTGAGAGGCCCTGGGAATGAATAACAGCCTCACCTTGCAGGAGAATGGTTAGCTTTCAAGGGTCCCTAACCAGACACCCACGCCAACACGTGAGTATCCCACCACCCACCAGCAGCAGGAGGGCTAACCCTAGACACAAGAGCTCCTCTAAGGAACTGACAGTGGGATACGTCTCATGGGTGGGAAGGAAAGTCCTGTGGGAGCCATGCCCTTGCTAGGAGGGCCAAGCATCAGGCAGGTCCGGGCTGGACACTCGGGAGTGATCTGCAGTCTAGAAGCTGGGTCCCCAAGTCCCTGCACGGCACCGGGTTTCTATCTGACCTTCCAGAAAGCCACGCAAGGCATTTATTTATTTATTTATTTATTTATTTATAGTCTCTTTATTTTGCGAGAGAGCCAGTGCAAGTGGGGGAGGGGCAGAGAGAGAGGGAGAGAGAAAATCAGAAGCAGGCTCCGCAGTCTTCTTGGAGTCTGATGTGGGGCTTGAGCTCACAAACCTGAGCCACCCAGGTGCCCCCATGCAAGGCCTTTTTATAGCTGTGACGTAGGGAAACTGAAGGACTTTGTAAAAATCTGCTTTTCGCTCCTTTTCCTGATCCTATTCCTGCTAGGACCCGCATCCCCACTTTACACATGCCTTGTAGCACCAACAGTGTGTGTCCTCCTTATAAGGGACAAGAAGTTAACGTTTATCTCAAGTCTTCCAGCACAATAGACGACATCTAAGGAAGAACCAGGTGAGAATAACCAGACCACCAGGAACAGACGTGTGGACGCCAAGGCTCCCTGGCTCTCAGGAATAACTGATGAAGGGCAGCTGGGGGCTTGAGGGGACCTACACAGCAGGCCCCAAGCAAGATGAGATTCTCTCCTTTCCTTTCCGGAGTCTCCCAGACACTCCGTACCTGCATTCTGTCTATACCTTCAGTACACTCTGCACTCACCTCCTGCTGGCTCACATTCAATTTCTATCCTGCAGAGGGCCGGGGACACTCGTGCCTGGTCTCGCAGGACCCCCTCTGGATCCTTGGACCTGACCCGCCTGCATCGGCTTTAGATTCATGAGCAGCAGGACACTCAGCGTCGGGGTGTGGCTTTTGCCCCCGTTGCCAATAAATCTCGACACCTGGGACAGAGTACAAACCAGATCAAAAGTCAGTCTGAGAGGGAGAGGGGTATGAACCTCAGCGTTCTTGGGGCTTTGCGGCCCCTTCCTGAGGCCTGGCTGCATCCTGGCCTTCAGATTCCACGAGACCCCCCATGTCCCTCGTGTCCCACTGATGCCCTCTTGTGCTCACACAGCTGGAGCTGGTCTTTGTTCCCTGCAGACTAATTAGCCTGGCGTTCCTTCCTACACTGTGTAGGCCAGAGCAGTGACAGCAAAGCCGCAGGGTGCGAGCAGGGGCTCCTTAGGTGTGGCAAGAACACGATGGCTCAGGGGCAAAGGTGGCTCTGTGGCCTTGATTGCACAGGACTGGTAAGCCTGTTAAGAAGGGTGGATTTTACACTCAGGGTAAGAGGCAGGTTTGCTAAAGCAGAGGACAGACCAGATAGGGGAGGGTGGAGACGGTCTGTGACACACCATTCCATCGGTTGAACCAACAGAGCCAGGAGTGGATTCTACAAGGGAGAACATGCAGAGGAAAGTTCCTAGTGGCCCCCCAATCTCTGGCCCAGATCCTAGGAGCAGGTGGTCCAAGGCCTCCCTGCACTCAGCCTCAGTGCTTTGTTCCCGGAGGTCTCCATCTCTGCATGAAGTCACATCCCGTCCACAGCGAATCTACTGCCCTACGAATTCCCGCCCAAGCCCCCACCCTAAAGCAGTTTGCCTCCTCCTCTGAAAACCAGGAATAGCACTTTCCATTTCTCTAGGTGCCTCACGCGAGTCTCCCGCAATCAGGCAGGAAAAGCAAGCCCCTGCAGAGGGCTGGCCCACGGCCCGGGGAGTTCTGCCAACGTAGCATGGAAGCAGGAAGGGCGCGGGCCCGCGGGCGAACCGGGACAGCTTTCCCCCGAAGGTTCCCAGCGCCGCCGAACCTGGGAACTAGGAGCTACAGCCCCTGGCTGAGCAAGCCCGGCTGAGGGCAGGGGCGCTTCAAGGGGAAGACCCCTCCCCAGGCCCCCCTCTCTGCGGTGTTGTTTCTTCAAATCGCACCCCCCCCCC